AGAAACACGTACACACAAAAACTTCATAGAATACACATCCACCCGCATATAAAGAAACACATGCACACCCACACACACATACCCCCCCCCCCCCGCATATAAACATGTAGCGATATTCTGAACTGACACTCAAACATACGAACAAGCGGAGGTAGCCGCCACCACGGGAATAGGGATCCCGACCCTTAGATTTTTCACATAATCATTGTGGTGATATGACCGAGCTTATTTGCTTGGAGGCATTGTTCAATGTTAAACAATTTTATTTATTCATTTATACTTGTTTTAACATCTGCCATTTACTTAGTCATCATCTTCAGGTCTTATCTTCATCTTCTCGTTTTATAAGTATTATTTATTTTAATTGTAGTTCAGATTATCATCATGCTATGTTATATTTTAACGTGTGCGGATTTAAAGAAAGATAAGTAAAATGTTATATTTATTAATGCTTAAGTATGCATACTAAATATTTATGAATAAATACAAACAATTACACCTACACAAATACATTTAGACAAGACAATAAACACGCACGAAATACACACAAAGGACAGCATATACACTTACGTTACGACTAAATTCTAAAATAAAAAGATACACACACGAATTGCAATACAAAACGAATAGTTTTACGATACGAACACAAATAATGACAACGTGTATTACTAACACAAACACATAACATTACACACAATTACATAACTCGCGATCGGTCACGATAGTTCTTGCTTAAACTATACCGGCGGACTAGCGCTCGTTTTCGTCAAAGCACGCGGAACATCCTTCGCAAGCACTTGGGATACATGACCTGATACATGTCCGTCTCCGTTGGTCTCCGGCACCGGCAGCGGCAAGGCGGTGTCTCCTCGCATCCGGTTCCAGCAACCTTGGGGGTCACCTCGGCGGCCTGGCGGCGGGCACACCGCTTGTCCGTATACCCAGTCGCCGCTCGAGGTAACTGCTGGTCCGTCCGGCTACACTGCTACTGCCATGGTTTATGTGTCATCCGACCGGGCGAACAGGCCATCCGGTCGTCTGCGGTCACAATTCGCGTCCTTAGCTGCACTGTCAGCATCCGAAGCCGTGCACGGGGATGCTCTGGGCAGAGAGGTCACGTGGGGCCAACGAAGGGCCATAACGCCACTACAAACAAACACATGCACATACACACACACACACATATACACTCACAAAAATCAACAACTTAAAACAGAATTTGCTCGTTCTAGCACTATCATCGACTCTTACAAAATGCTGAGTCATGAACCTTGCCCAGATCAGTCTAGGGAAAATCGAATGCGTTTTCCCCGATGACGAATTATATCAAATGATGACTCATGACTTCTCATTGAGATGCGCGACGTGATGGTGGGGGTGGGAATTGGGGGAGGGGAAAGGGGGGTGGGGGCTGAATATTTGTTAATTACGCCATGTGTATCCTACCATGGGCTGATATGGCGGTATCAATTTGGAATTTAGAAGTGTCATGAAAATGTGTTTTCATGTTTTTGTTTTATTTTTGGGGGATTGGGGCTTGGCAAATAAGGCAACAGGCTATTCAGCTTTATGAGATGTGACATTTATGTTCATCAGTTTATTATGCTGTTTGTTCCTTAGTTATGTTTTTCTTCAGAATATACATTTATAATTGTTTATGTGGCTTGTTTCAATTTTCAGCAGAAATAAATTCAATATGTATATATGAGTGTCTCGCGATTCGTTTAATCAAATTCCACTAATATCATTACCATCAAAACATTAAACCCGTTCAATCCAGTCTATCAAAACATGCCAGTTACATCAGCCAATCATTAAATCATCCATTCTCATTTAAATATATATATATTTAAACACATCACACTATTCATTCCGCATCCAAATTCTTTTGTTTACATTTTGACGAAGTAACCAACCTCCCCGCCAGGTTTCGTCGAGCCGGGCATTAGACCCTTCGCCCTCCCGCCCTTCAGCATCGAGGCCAACAACCAGACGATCACCTTCACCGACATCATGTCCGACGTGGGCGTGGGCGTGGTCATGATCCCGTTCATCGCCATTCTCGACCAGATCGCCGTCGTGAGCGCCTTTGCGAAGGGAAGGACGTTCGACGCCACGCAGGAGATCATCGCGCTCGGAGTCGCCACCATCGCCGGGTCCTTCTTCGGGTGAGGGCAGGGGGGGAGGGGAGAGGGGGGAGGGGAGAGAGATGGGGAAGGCTAGATCAGTAGCAAGTCGAGGAGGTGTCATGGCGTCTGATTCTATTTTTGCGCGTATCAACTGCAGTTTGTGAGTACGATGGGCTATTTTTAGGCTAGCACATGTTTACAGGTTTACATTTTGTACAATATCCAACAGTATTAAAATTTCAATGGCTTTTCAGGCATTTTTGACTTCATAGTGTCTTGTTGGCCAGGTAATCTACACATTAAATAAAATACTTTTCATTCATTCACTGAGTGCATGGAGGTATTAATAAAAGTAGGTATACTTAATTCCTTCAGGCTGAGTAAAAAAACAAGGGCTTTGGCTTGAATCCCATTGCAGCAATTCCACTTGAGAATCATTCATGCTTAAACATAATCGCCCTTTTCTCGTCCACAGGGCTATTTTGATGGTTGTTCAAGGGAAATATACCCATTAAAATAATTATTCTCCATCCTTTTTGAAACAGAAAATAACAAATGACTTTTTCCAAAAAGAGAATCAGACGACATGACACCTCGAGTTGCTACTGATCTGGCCTTCCCCGGAGAGAGAGAGAGAGAGAGAGAGAGAGAGAGAGAGAGAGAGAGACAGAGAGGACAGAGAAGAGACAGAGACAGACAGACAGAGACAGACAGACAGACAGACAGACAGACAGACAGAGACAGAGAGGGGGGGAGGGAGAGAGGAAAGGGAGAGGGATAGAGAAAGAGGGGAAGGAGAGGAAGAGCGAGAGAGAGAGAGAGAGAGAGAGGAGAGAGAGAGAGAGAGAGAGAGAGAGAGAGAGAGAGAGAGAGAGAGAGAGAGAGAGAGAGAGAGAGACAGTGACAGACAGACAGACAGACAGACGGGTAGACAGACAGACGGGTAGACAGACCGAGAAAGAGAGACCAGTATAAAGACCCAAAACACAAAGGGATAACAATCCAGTAAACTACAATATTGAATTAAAAGTTTCCCCTCACATTGTTAAGGCAAAGTTTTCCCGTCTGCGTGACCTCTGTTTAGATGTCTCAGGTCAAAGGAGACATAAATTAAAGGTCAACTGGGAAAATGCCCAAAGAAAATTGAGACAATGAAATGACTAGCCAGATTTTCCGGAAAGTTTATTTTATATCAGTAAAATGACTCGCCAGATTCAAAAATAACCTTTCCGCAAGATCTGGCTAGTCATTCCACTGATAAAAAATAATGACTAGCCAGATTTTGCGGAAAGATTATTTTATATCAGTGAAATGACTCTCCAGATTTTGCGGAAAGTATTTTATATCAGTGTGATGACTAGCCAGATTTTGCGGAAAGATAATTTTATATCAGTGAATGACTACCCAGATTTTGCGAGAAGATCCTTTTTACATTTTCTAATATATATATATATATATATATATATATATATATATATATAATATATATATTATTATATATATATATAATTGTTACGCCTTTACATGAAAAAATGTAGGTAGACAAACAGACGAAGAGATAGAGTAGATAGAATAGACAGGTGGATGAGCGGAGTGAAGGGTAGGCAGGCGTGTAGATTGGTAGACAGTATAACGAGGAAGGTGAGATTGAACAAACAAGCAAAGAGGAAGAAAGATTGGACGATTGATGAAGAGACAGACGCCTTTCGTTGATAAGGTTTTGTTTGTCTGTCTGTCCCTTTCTCTCGCTGTCTCCCTGTTTCTGTCTCTGTCTCTATCTCTCTTTGTCTCTCTCGTGGACATATAACTATTAATTCAAATAACACCAGCCTTAACAGACGTATTCTGTAGCAATATCACCGTAAAGTTGATAAACCATCTCTCTCTCTCCTCTCTCTCTCTCTCTCTCTCTCTCTCTCTCTCTCTCTCTCTCTCTCTCTCTCTCTCTCTCTCTCTCTCTCTCTCTCTCTCTCTCTCTCTCTCTCTCTCTCTCTCGCTGTCTACCTACCTATCAATCTCTCCTTATATCTGCCAATCTATCTGCAAATCTATCAATCTGTAAATCTATCTACCAATCTGTATATCTATGTATCTATCTGTAAATATATGATACACTGTTTATACACATATATTTACGCATGTTATCCCTCCCCAGGTCGATGCCCATCACAGGCTCTCTCTCCCGCACCGCCGTCAACCTCTCCAGCGGAGTCAGGACGCCCGCAGGAGGTCTGGTTACGGGCGTGATGGTGCTGCTGGCCCTGACCTTCCTCACGCCCTGCTTCGCGTGAGTATAGCGTGGGCGTGGGAGAGTGAGGGAGAAAAGAGATGGAGGGGTGGAAAGAGAGAGGGGAGAGGAAGGGGTGAATTTGAAGGTGTTTGGTTGAGGGGGGGGGGATAGATGTGGGTAGGGGAAGAGACAGACGGAGAAGGAGGAAGGGAGAGGGAGAGTTAGTAGAGGAGAAGAGAGGGTGGGGAAAGAAAGGGAGAGGAGGGAGAGGGAAGGAGAGAGGGAGAAGAGAAGAGGAAGAAGGAAGGAAAGGAAAGGGAGAGGGAAAGAGAAAGGAGAGGGAGAGGGAGAAGAGAGGGAAAGGGAGTGGAAGAATGAGGTATATCGATCGATCGACAGATAGATAGGTAGAGGGATTTGAGAAGCGAGGAAATTAGAGAAGGTGACAAAATGAGATATATATTTATTTGAAAAAAGCCCTAAGCAACCAAAACTGACGAGAAAGACTCCAAAGAGCAGCTTCCGCCGCCCCCTGACCGCGCCCTCCCCTCAGCTTCATCCCGAAGGCGACGCTGGCGGCGGTGATCATCTGCGCCGTCCTGCACATGGTGGACTACGAGGTCCTCCTGCCGCTGTGGAGA